ATTTTGGTGTGTAGCTGCCTTGATGAGTGTAGATAGCAATTTGTTCATGAGAAGTTAATGCGCCAAAAATTATGCAAATTAGCTACCAAAGACCAATGCTTAAATTACTTCTACTATGACACTATTAGGTCTAAAGTGCTGATAATGATAGTGTACATGTATTGAGTTGACCTTTGTTAGTTTTGTTAATTTGACAAAATCTTCAATTCCCTGTTTTTGAAAAATAAAATGGGTTTGAGAGAGATTTATTGCTTCTTTCCAGTGCAAAATCTTAAATGAAAAATCTGTGTACCCAGTGAATAGTGTTAATAACAATAATTAAATAACATTTTATGTATTTGATTTGTTCAAGGTAGAGGTAATATAGTTCTTGGCGCTGAATTTAATTTCTATTTTGATCCTGTGGCTGCTTTTGCTGTTCTTAATGAGTGTCAGTGTCCTGTTACCATAGCAACCTGGGAGACATGTTGTGACTATGACAACATGCCCAGCTATGTAAGTGGTTCAACAAATCCCAAGAATTCTTCTTACTTTTATTCAGTTTTAAACACCACCTAGTATGACATTTATGATTATGATTATTATTCGCTATACGTTATGTCATAGATTTACAGATGTATTGCTTTGACGATCTAACTCAAAATGGCCGAATGGCGGCCATTTTTGTTCTAAAAATCATCAAAAATCAAACATTTCTAGCATTCTGGAACTGCATCTTGGTTGTTTATGGATCAATTTCGTTGGTACATACGTTAGACCATATGGGTTCCAGATGCACTTCATTTTGTTTTTCAGATCGAATTCAAAATGACTAACTGGTGCCATTTTGTTTTAATGAATGTGATTCTAGTGCCATATCTCTGACATGCTTTGTCTGATTATGTTCAAATTTTATTTATTCATTATACATCATGTTATAGATATACAGATGTATTGGTTTGACAATCTGATTCAAAATGGCCAACTGGTGCCCATTTTTTTTTTAAATTAATGCTGTTCCAGTGCATAATCTACTCATTTGATGATCAGATACAAGATGACTGAATCTCAATTATTTTAATGTTTATAATCAAGCATCAGCTTCTCGATTCATATCTCTGACATGTTTATGTTTCAATTATATTACACTGTAACCTCAATATAATGAACACCATTATAATGAATTTCCTGATATAATGAACACATAGCATGTCTCCCGCTCACAACAAACCCAATGTATTATGTGCTTCATTATAGTGAACATTTCACTATAACAAACTAATTGTATGTCCCCCAAAGAGTTTGTTAGAACAAGGCTACAGTGTACTATAAACAAAACTATACATCTTAAATGTGATAGCTAACAGTAATTGTGCCATGCATGGCTTGTTTCTTCTTAAGATATTTAAAAAAAACATATGATTTAATGTTGTTGTTTGATTCAACACGATATAAACATTTTGAATTATTTGTCATAACTAAAAACATTAAAAAGGACTCACAATAGTATTTATTAGTCAAAAAATCAAAATCACTATTACAAAATATTGCGTGATTATTATTGTATATACCAAAACAATCATTACATATGCATATTAGACAATGTCGTTGTAACATCAAATGAATACACAGATATGTGTTACAAAAATAGTGTTTTTATGTCTGGATAATTCATAGTTCATTTTGTACAGCAAGATATACCACCGGTAGTATGAAACAATAATATTGTTCTTGTCCATCTTTGCCTTTTTAAATAATACAACCTGTATATAGTATTTTCTTTTTTTCACATTATCAATAAGTTTTGGTTTTAATCTAAATTTCTACAAGAAGCATAACAGTTCATATTCTGAGTAGTGATGATGATTCATTGGTCAAAACATGATCACATGTCAGTGATAAATATTAGCAGATGACAATCTTGATGTCAACAGAAGTCTGCTATTCTTTATTTCCATGAACGTTGTTCAGCATACACATATTATTTTTGACCAATAGCATTCACTTAATTGCATAGTCCAAGTGCACCATGTGACAAGCCTAGTTTAGCCCTTACATTCTTGATATGTTTTCAAACACTGTCAGATTTCAAGCGATATTGATTAACACCTTACAGATACATAGTAACCAGTGACCTTGTGACCTTAAAGGTCTTGATCAAATTTTGTTAACATTTCTGAAATTTGTGATGCTGGACTTCAAATCTGTCTTACTAGAATATGATTGGCTACAAGTTTGTTGAACAATGTAAATTTTCTTTTCCAAATGATAAGCCTTGTGGTACCTGGCTTACTCTTGAAACCATTAATGAAAATTCAAAAAACAGCTGCATCAAATTTTGTTGCTTTGACTTTGAAAAGTCTAACCTAACAACATATTTAAAAATAAAACATTTTGGTTTATTTTAATTAATACCTTTGTTGTTGTTTAATTATTTTCTCTTTTTAGGAATGGTTCAAAAAGTGGTCCAACCAACCAACAGAAAAAGCCAAATTTATCAGGAGAATACGTGAGCAGCAAATCAATAAATCTCTCATTCCTATAGAGGGGAGATATTTTCGTTCATGTGACACTGTTGCTATGGCCGCTGTACTGCTACCCGACGTGATAGTGGAATCAGTAAAGAAGTATGCAACCGTTGAGCTTAATGGAACGCTAACCCGTGGTCAAATGGTGATTGACTGGAGAGAGAAATTGAAGAAATCTCACAATGTCAACATAATAATAAAAATTAACAGAGATCTTTATCTAGATCTTATGTGGAAGGCTTTAGAATAAATGTCATAATACTGAATAATGAATAAAATAAATATATGTAATATTTTGAACAAGTGTTTTTTAATTCAGGAATAATTGTCTAACATTTTTCATGAAATAAACAAATCTAAAGAAGCAGCCAAGGTAGCAGCGTTTTTGATAAATGAATGACAGTCATTGTCTTTAAATGACCTATCACTAAATCACACTAAATACACTACATATGAGTGTGTGGCTGTGTTTATAACAGCAACTTTAGCTGTATTAGTTAGCTCTTTTGTTGACTATGTTTAGCAAAGCTAGTCACTGATTGTTTGGCGGTATCACCTTAACGTTTTTTTAATTATTCTTGAAAACATTTTGCCATATTGCTTTAAAATTTACCAGGGAAATACTTTAGATGGTCCATCCTCAGACATTTTCATTTCATGATGGTAACTCCCATTGTCTAATTAGTTACGGTTGTACAATATCTGAAACAGGGAGTTATATTTTGGATTATTGCCATTTCTTTGATTTGACACAAAAGCACATCTATTATTTATTTGACCTTTGACAGACTGAACACCATCAAACATCTTCCAGGCATGCTATGACTGATTTTATTTAAACTTGGTATTGTATAAGCATGTAAATTTTTTCTCTGATCTGATTCAAAATAACTTTTTTCTTCTCTTTTCCATAGATGGGTGACTGATGCACATTAGTTTTTTTAGCTCCGCTGTCGACGAAGTCGAGCTGAGCTTACAGTAATACTGATTGTCCGTCGGCGTTCGGCGTCGTAGCCGCCGTCGTCAACTTTACATTTCCGACTTCTTCTTAAAAACCACAAACTGTATAGCTGTGAAACTTTCTAGGAAGGTACCTTGGGTGGTTCTCTCTCAGATTTGTTCATTTCATGTGGATATGTTCAATTGTCTTATTTATAGCGAATATTTTTGGTCAAAAATGCTATTTTTGACTTCTTCTTGAAAACCGCTAGCCCGAATACTTTGATACTTGGTGTGTAGGTACCTTAGGTAGACCTCTTTCAGATTTGTTCATTTTGTGATGATATCTTAAATTCTCTAATTTTTATGAATATTTTTGTCATTTTTGGTAAAAAGTGATATTTTCGACTTCTTGTTAAAAACTGCAAGTCTAATTGCTTTGATATTATATATACTACATAGGCATACAGGTAGACCTCTCTCAGATTTGTTCATTTCGTGATGATTTTGTTCTTCAATTATCTAATTTTAATGAATATTTTAGATAAAAAGTTATAAAACGTCTGATTGCTTTAATACTATACATATCGTTCATTTTCGAATGATATCTTCTGTTCATTAATTGCAATGTGCATTGATAACAGCGGAGTTATCTCAGCCGATAGGCTGCTAGTTTGTGATTTGATACAAAATGGCCAATTGGCAGCCATGTTTGTTTTATTTGCCTGTGACCTTAACCAGTGTGCCCTCTAACAGGACTGTAGGAATTGTGAATTGAATGGGGAGGTCATTCTTTAAACACGAGGCAAAAACAAAAATGTTATGGCCCCAGATTTATTTACAATTATTTTGTCTATAAAATGTGAATTTCATTTTGTGTCAGTGGCGCGTTGATTCTGCTTAGAGAGCACACTGTCTTTAAGATTGTTTTGAACATATTCATTTGTAGGTACATGACACATTAGTATACGTATATGTGGAATTTTTGATTTTGGGTACAATTGACCAATTTGCATTTTTTGAACTTATCCCCCAACTCCAAAAAAAAAATGTCGTGACCAATTTTCAGGCATGTCATGGCTGATTTTACTCAAACTTGATGTGGACATAACTAATGATAGTTGTTTGCGATTTTATTTAATGGCTGCCTAAGTCATGTTGGTTTTACCCCTGTCTCCTTGAATCGTGGCCTAACAATATCTGTGGAGTACAATATCTGTGATCTGAGTCTGTGTTATGCTTAACCAGGGTGTAGTGACCACATTGAGCCTTTTGTTCTCTACACAAATGTTGGATGTCTTTCACCTCCCCTTTGAGTCTGGCACGTGAACCACTCGCCCATAGCTCAGTGGCATTATCTGCTATTAAAATTAATTGGTTACATATCTATGCAGAGCACAGTAGTGTTGAACTCCCCATTGTGTCTATAAGTCTGTAATTCAGCCATTCTAGTGCTGGTACATTGGCTATGACCTCTCTATTGCGTCTGTAGCCCACTTACCCCAGGGTACATTGGCTATGACCCCTCTCTATTGCATCTGTTGCCCACTTACTGCAGGGTGCAGTTGCTATGACCTCCCCATTGCGTCTGGAGCCCACTTACCCCAGAGTACAGTGGCTATAACCTCCCCATTACGTATGTAGCCCACTTACTCCAGGGTTCAGTGGCTATGACCTCCCAGTTGTATCTGTAGCCCAGTTACTCCAGGGTACATTTGCTATGACCTCTCCATTGTGGCTGTAGCCCACTTACTCCAGGGTACATTAGCTATGACCTCCCCATTGTGTCTGTAGCCCACTTACCTCAGGATACAGTGGCTATGACCTCCCTATTGCGTCTGTAGCCCACTTACCCCAGGATACAGTGACTATGACCTCCCCATTGCGTCTGTAGCCCACTTACCCCAGGATACAATGGATATGACCTCCTCATTGCGTCTATAGCCCACTTACTCCAGGGTACAGTGGCTATGGCCTCCCACTTGCGTCTGTAGCACTGTTACTCCGGGGTACAGTTGCTATGACCTCTCTATTGTGTCTGTAGCCCACTTACTCCAGGGTACATTGGCTATGATATGACCTCCCCATTACGTCTGTAGCCCACTTACTCCAGGGTACAGTGGCTATGACCTCCCCATTGCGTCTG